ATGTTGTTATTTACAAATAAAGGCAAATTGGAGTTTGTTTAACTATAATTTATCAGAACAAGGCACTTTCCAACTGTAACTTGTGATCTTACCTTGCACAGATAAAACAACCTGCAGCTTTTGATTTGGAGAAAATGTTGCACTTCAGTTAGTTAAAAAGCAATGCAAATGCTCCAGTTCTCTTCCTGATGGCCATGATGGAGGACTTTGCAAAGCAGGTTCACAGAGAAACCAGAACTAAACAATACAATCTTCCCTGACCGTTTGTATATTTTTGTATCCAAGGATAATTACATCCCATCAATTCTATAGAAGCAGCAAAGTAACTATGGACCTTTACAGACTGCCAAAAATAATGCAGCTTGAAGTCACTTCAACTGTCTTGGCTCAGTGCTAGGGAATCATGGGAATTGTATTTTTTTCTGGGACATTGAGCCTTCTCTGTCAGAGAGCTCTGGTGCCACAATAAACTACAGTTCCCATGATTCCTTAGCACTGAGCCAGGACAGTTAAAGTGGCCTCAAGCTGCATTATTTCTGGCAGTCTGTAAAGGCCCTTGTTTGCAGATGACACTAAATTGTTCAGGAGGTTGAGAACAGACTGCAAAGAATGGAAAATAAATCTCTCTGAAGTAAAAAAAAAAAAAAAGGCAAATTAAATATAAGGCCATAAACATTGAACAAAATCCCAACTTTAGAAATGACATGTCCTCCACTGGGAAAGGAAAGGAAAGAATGAAAGAAAGAAAAAAGGAACAAGTTAATTTCACACAAAAAAGATAAGTCTGGAATTGCTTCAAATACCCAAAGCAAATTGGCTGTGCATTGATGTTTTCAGTGACTACAGAAACACAGCTTACTTCGTGTCCTGTCGAAACTAATCTGCCTTATTATCTAGGTGCAATTGAATTACTTATGTAAGATGACAATTCTGTGTATCATAATATTTGTGCTCTTTGTCATAAAGCTAACCTTGACCCCATTTGTTAATTGCCTGCTTGGATTGGTATTCTGATTATACATGGCTCCCACCTTCTGAAGCATCTTTCATATCTTTGGGGGCCTTCATCACTTTGCCGACTTGAGAATTTGATATCTTCCTTTGATGGCATATTCGGTTTGTCAGAATTAAATGTTCCTCAATTAGGCTGTTGGTAGAAATAGCTTTTATTTTGTCATTTTTAAAATTCATTTTCCCCTTATCTAAGCAGACACACACAACTAATACTGTGTTATCAGCCATAGACTTTGTGGGCCAAAAACTACGCAAAAATTTAATACAGAAAATGCAAGCCTAGTTACTGATGCTGTATTCATTTCATATATGATCAGTTTGTAATTTTTTTTAGTGCAGTGTTTGTAAAGTTGGATATTGGATATTGGGTTGGATTCAGACTTAGCCACACTTACTCAGTGAAACCAGTGAGATTTAAGTTAGTAATGACTAACCAGTCCCACTTTTTAGTGGGTCTATTCTAATTATGACTCAAAGGTGTAGGCATGTTAGTTTGGAAAATAAGTATGCAAAAGGATCTTGTAGCACCTTTAAGACTGTAAAAACATTCATCTGAGGAAGTAGGCTGAAGTCTACAAATGGCCATGCTACCAACTCTTTCTTTAATTTTACTCTCAAAGGTGCTACAAGAACATATTGTACTTAATTATGAGTAAATTTGGATCCAACCCATTCTAAAGCAATTATGTTGACTGTGTTGCACCATCTCAGTCAAGGCATAGAATATAGACCATCCTGCTTACAAAAAGAAGTAACTTGAAAGACTGACACATCGGTCAATCTAGAATTATCTTTCTGAATCTACTGTTTCACTTTTTAGTGGCATAATGGAAACAACTGAACAAAAAATTATGTTCCTTAAAGAGAAGTTTTTTTAAAAAAAATTCCCAAAATCCATCTGAATTTATTGTTGTGTGCCTTCAAGTCATTTCCGATTTTTGACGACCCTTAGCCAAACTTATCATGGGGATTTCCTGGTAAGATTTGTTCAGAGACAGTTTGCTTTTGCCTTCCCCTCAGACTGAGAGCATACGACTTGCCCAAAGTCACCCAGTGTTTTTCTTTGGCTAAGTAGGGATTTGAATCCTAGTCTACAGACCTGTAGTCCAGTCCTGTTCAAACCACACAGTGCTGATTCTTGGTAAATGTATTAAACCAACTAAAAGGGTATGGAGATGTACAGGAGCCTTCCAAGGCTTCAGATTTCTTTATTAGGGAAGGTGCCTTTAACACCAAATGCACTTTTTCACTCTTCTCTCACATACTTTTTGTAACATTTTTGCCTCATGACAAAATCTAGAGGCACTGGAAGCTAGCGTCTTTTAGAACAGGAAAGGTTTTCTGGGATGCTATTCCAGTTGCAATCATAAGGGAACTGAGCAAAATCCACCTCAAGGGGGATGAGCAACCAACCATTCCAGAATGTACTGACATTTGTTCTTTATAGACGCAGAACCCACATGTTGGGCAGCACAGAGATCAAAGAGAGACTAGGGCTAGAAAGGGCAGGGCTCATTGGAGATGTTTAACTGAAAGACCAGGATTTTCTAGAATTTCTGACTCACACCTTGCCTTTTCCAATTTCTACCACTAATATACTCCTGGTAAATGAACTGAGTCCTGAATGGAAGGGTTTTGCTGCTTCTCCATCTGCAGCATCTCTACTTCAGAACCTTGATTCCTGTAAAAGCTCATATGAATCCAACTCACTCGTGGATAGAATGGAAAATGGAAACAAGCTGAGGACAAAAGGAGAAAGTATGGGGAGACGAGAGAAACTGGGAAATTTTTATAGTTGCTGAAAGTGTGGGATGGAAAAGGATTAATCGAGGCTGCCCCTGATAAATCAGGACAGTTGAAAAGTGTGCACTTCTAGAGAACAGTATTTAGAATGCTTAGCCAGAGAGCTCTTGTTGTTAACTGCCATCAAGTCAACTTGGACTTGTGGTGACTCTATGAATGAGAAACCACCAAGTCCTTCTATCATCAGCAGTCCTGCTCAGGTCTTGCAGACTCAGGGCTGTGGCCTCTTTGATTGAATCTATCCATCTATAATGCAGTCTTCCTCTTTTCCTACCACCTGCTAATTTGCTAAGCTTTATTGTCTTTTTTAGTGAGTCATGTCTTCTTATGATATGTCCAAAGTCAGTTTAGTCATCTTAGCTGCTAGGAAAAGTTCAGGCTTGACTTCTTGTTGTTGTTGTTGTTGTTGTTAGCTGCCCTCAAGTCGAGACTGACTCGTGGAGACCTTGTGGATGAGACACCTCCAAGACTCCCTATCTTCTGCTCAGGTCCTAGAAAATGATATTGGCATATTGTAGTTAACCCTAGTCTTGCTTCTGTCTATGTACATTCTAGCAGATCAATTGGGATATCATCTGTTCCTGGAGATTTATTTTTCCCAAGTTCTCTTATAATGCAGATTCTACTTCACTTTGTAGACTTTGCAGTTCATCCTTATTCTATGTGTCATTCTTTTTCTCATCTCTTTTATATAACTCTTCTGTGTATTGCCTCCAGCGTCTTTTTATTTCTTCTTATATTATGTTCCAGGCCTTGGTTTGAATTTACCTTTGATTTCCCAGATTTTTTTGAATTGGTTTCTTATTCTTCCCTTTTTGCTATTATCTCTACTTCACTACATTGGTTGTAATAGTAATTTTCCTTATCCCTGCGTATCAGATGTTGCATGGTTGTGTTCATGGGTCTGGTTATTCTCCTGTCTTTGTTCTAGGGCCCATTTATTTGTCTTTTTGGCAGTCCACATTATTTGCAGAGAGTTCTAGAACCTCACCAAACTACAAACCCCAGGATTCCATAGGATGCATCCATGGCAATTAAAATGTAACCATAGCCCTAAAATTATATAGTGTGAAAGGACCCTGAGAGATACACTGAGAACAGAGGGACAAAATGGAGAAAGGTTCAGATTCCCTGAACTCTGCCTTGCCATCTTTCCTTTTTGTAAAAAAAATAGAATAAAATTGCAGCTATAAAAAAAAATAGAGATCACCAGTAGAAACAGAAGTTTAACATTCCCTTTTGTGTGACATGCTCCAGCCCAAATGTGGCCAAATCTGGAAAAGCAGTTACCTTCCTACAAGCTTTGAGGTCAGTTTTTGTCAGAATTGTAGCAATAGCAATAGCAAGTACATTTCTATGCCAGTTATCAGTGAACTAGCACTCCCTAAGCGGTTTACAATGTATAAGCCAATTGTCCCCAACAAGCTGGGTACTCATTTTACCAACCTACAAAAGTATGAAAGGCTGAGTGAACCTTGGAGCCCTCCTCTAGAATCAAACTTCCAACATTGTGGCTGCAGGACTAGCATTTAACCACTGCGCCACCATGGCTCCTTAGTCTAAGTTGTAGGTTGGAAAGATTCATGTTTACTGGTTAGCCACACTGATGAGGACTTGGCATATGTAAAACACCATAGAACAGGCGTAGTGATCTTTTATCTCTCCAGCTGTTTGGGCCTACAACTCACATAAACCATAAACTTCTCTCAAGATGGCTGAGCAGCTGCAGGAGATGTAGTCCAAAAACTCTCAAAGAGCCAAATGCTCCCCAGTCCACTCCTAGAGCCAACATGAGATTTCCTCAACCCTGAGTCACTCAAAGTCTACATTAAGGGTGGGCAACTGTAGAGGGGATGGGGGGCAATTTCCACTCTGACCACATACACACACACATACACCATGGCAGCCCAACACACCGAAGCCCCCAGATCCCCTAAAGAAAAAAATAAATATTTTTCTGGATAATATTTCACCAACACTTTCTTCAAGCTTAAACCCATTGCAAAGTATAGCATTTTTGCTTCCTTTAGATTCCCCAGGTCCCTCCCCCATACCTCAAAAACCTGCCAGAATCCTCCAAAAATCATCAGGAAATCATCTGAAATGGAAATAGAAAATGAAAGGTGTCACTTCCAGTTTCAATTTCAGTCATTTTTCAGCCAATTTGGGAGACACTAGCAATAGCCAGTGTGGCATAGTGGTTTGAGTATTAGACTGCAACTCTGGAGACCAGGGTTCAATTCCCCTCTCAGCCATGAAACCCACTGGACAATTCACATGCTCTTAACCTCAGGGGGAGACAATGACAAACCTCCTCTGAACAAATCTTGCTAAGAAACCCCCATGATAGGTTTGCCTTAAGATTGCCATAAGTCAGGAATGACTTGAAGGCACACAACAACAACAACAACAACAACAAAGAAGCAGGTTTTTATGGTATGTAGGTGGATTGAGAGAGTAAAACACCTGCATTTTGCAAAGGTTTGGAGCTTTTGGAGGGACTGGATGAAAAATCGCATGGACATTTAAAAAATAGTGGTCCTGGGGGCTTTGGGGAGATTTAGGGACCATATGTGGCCCATTGACTGCATTTTGCCCACTCCTGGGCTCCATCCTGTGGTAGTTAATGTCTCCCATGTCAATTGAGTGCTGAAGCTACAAACATCGTTCAGTTTTAGCTCAGATCGAAACCGAGAGCAGATTCACTGACTTGGGGGAAAGCAGACGGCCCTGTAGACACGTCTTCTGGCTGCTCAGGCTGTGATCATGTCAGGTGAGCTGCTGCCATGGTCCCATGCCAGCACCACTAGGAGCCAGATTATTCTGGCTCCTTTTTGCAGATGTGTCGGACTCCTTCTGGTGGTGCAGGAGCAGCTTCCAGCCACTTTGGGGGCATGCATTATTTGAACTCCATGTCCCCAAAGTAACCGGAAGCAGCCTTATTTGGCCCATGTGTTCCAGCCCTTAGAAGCTACCACTGTCCACATCTGTAGTGGATGGTTCAGCACCATTTGAAGGACATGAATTCATTGCTTTTACACATTAATAACTATCTAATAAAATATTTCTCTGCCTTTTTCTCTTTGTTGTACAAATCTTCATGATTGATCCCAGAATAAACAAAATCCTAACCTAAATTCTGTTGTTAGTTCTAAGTAGAGATGGCTGAGTTGGATTTACTTACATGTTGACCCACCATTTAACCACTGATTGAATGGGTCTATTCTAGTTGGAACTAACCAATAGGATTCAAGCCTTGGCATGTTCTCTAAAACAAAACAAAAAACTTAGTAAGGTTTGAGGGTTTGATTCCATCAACTATTTCAGGGACCTCCTAAACAAACACTTCAGAGTTCTCTACTTTTTCCTCTAGGATGCACATCTATCTAATACAGCTTAATATTTACAATTATATTGATAGTCTAAATGTTTCCATGCATGACATTTAATATCAATTGGCAAACTGTCTTTTTCCAGAAAACTGTTGATTTGGGTCCATTTTGCATGATGTGAAGCAAATTTTAAGGAATATAGGTGCTCCCATTCAAACTTTTGTTTCATTTGGCTCCTAGGTGAGATAAT